ATTCTTGTATCGTTTTTCTCCAATTATATATATTTATTAAATAATCATGAATACTTCCAACTGTTTGACGATTAAAACCATACGTTGATTTATTAACATTTCGACCATCAATTATTATTTGTAGTTCATAAAAACGTGTTTTACTAACACGATTAATCATATCATCAACTTGTGATCGTTCAAATGATACTTTAAATGGTTTTATTGAAAAATCTTCTGTATCATCTGATTGTGGAAAAACTGGACCAAAATATTTGACATCAACTGTATAACAAGGTAGACATCGTGCTTCAAATAAAGCTTTCCATCCATAAATAACAGCAAAAATAAGAACAAATACTGCTATTATACGATTTAATTGTGAGAGATTCATCTGAAAAAAGAAAGAAGATATGATTTATCTATTTAGATTCAATGTATATTATGCATTAAATATGCAATAAAAACGGACAAATAACTAAATGATCTGATAAAATACACGCTGTTCGTGGTTTTTTTTAAAAAGAACAGGGGTGGCCTGACCGGGGGTTGCCAGCAGAGGTGCAGAATCTGCCGCTAAAATAAAAAATTTCCCCAAACGACAAATTTTTTATGAAAAATTTCCCCCACTATAGAATTCAATGAAAAAACGAGTCATCCCCGTTAAAGACGATGTTTATTCAAAAAAGAATAACTACGACTACACAACAAATTGCAAATACACTTTAGAAAAAAAGAATTTTATTATTCAATATCGTCTGGTTCAGGTAATCTTCCAACTTGTACTTTGGCACTACGAGAAAGACACGGATGATTCTTTTTAAAAGTTTAACAAAAATAAAAGAAAGAAAAAAGATGCAAGATCTTATTGATACAGATATAAATAAACTAAGATTTGTTTGGAAAACTGTAAGATTTTTCTTACGAGGGAAAATTATTTTCCTACGAGGGGAAATTATTTTCCTATGTGGGGAAAATAGTTTCCTACGAAGGAAAATTATTTTCTTACGAGGGAAAATTATTTTCTTACGAGGGAAAATTATTTTCCTACGAGGGAAAATTATTTTCCTACGAGGGGAAAATAGTTTCCTACGAGGGAAAATTATTTTCCTACGAGGGAAAATTATTTTCCTACGAGGGAAAATTATTTTCCTACGAGGGGAAAATAGTTTCCTACGAGGGGAAAATAGTTTCCTACGAGGGGAAAATAGTTTCCTACGAGGGGAAATTATTTTCCTACGAGGGGAAAATAGTTTCCTACGAGGGGGAAATAGTTTCCTACGAGGAAGAATTATTTTCCTACGAGGGGAAATTATTTTCCTATGAGGGGAAAATAGTTTCCTACGAGGGAAAATTATTTTCCTACGAGGGGAAAATAGTTTCCTACGAGGGAGAATTATTTTCCTACGAGGGGAAATTATTTTCCTACGAGGGGAAAATAGTTTCCTACCAGGGGAAAATAGTTTCCTACGAGGGAAAATTATTTTCCTACGAGGGGAAAATAGTTTCCTACGAAGGAAAATTATTTTCCTACCAGGGAAAAATAGTTCCCTACGAGGGAAAATTATTTTCCTACGAGGGAAAAATGTTTTCCAAAAAATTTCCCCAGATGCTAATAAATTTTCAAAAATTTCCCCGTACGGCCGTACGCGCACACGGGTAGATTCTGCACCTCTGCCTGTCACTGTAGTTTTTATTTTATTGTTTTCAAATAGTTTTTGGAAATGTAACGATATTTCAAAATGTAAATCCATTTTGTTAAAAGTATCATATAGAGCATAAACAATGCATGTGTCAACGATCACTTTACAAATATTCTCAATATGAAATGATAACAAGATTGGTTTATGGTATTTTTTGAGAGTGAGCTGTTACAAGAGAAAGAATAATGAATAGTACATCTCTTCAGAATACTGATCATGAGTTTTTTTCTTTTAGTTAGCTGATGCATTGATTTCGATTTTTTTTTATAAATGAAGATAATCATACAGTTTTGTATAAACGAATAAGTTGATGTTCTCAAGTAATATTAATACAAAATAGTTATCTCTAATAAATGTATTGAGTTCAAGATACCCGTGTACCAGGACAATTTTCAGCAGGATACCGAAAAAGCACTCTGCTTCCAATATATAACAGAATCTTGATTGAGTGCCCTACTGCGAATTATCTCAGTACATGGGTACAGACTAAGATACTCGTTCAGGTTCTATAGCATCAGATGAAAAATTTTCCAGGACGTTAGTCTATCGAATACTTAGAAACGTTTTGAAGTAAAGTGCTAAAAAACCCAAGAATTTCTGTTACATACTGGTAGCAGGATATCCTTTCGGGTAACTTGAACCTAATACATTCACTATAGGATGTCCGGAAAGTCCTTAGAGTTAGGAAAATTTTCATATCTCCTTTAC